TAACCTGGTTGCACTGGCTCTGGGACAGTCCTTCTGTCTCTTGGTAGTCCATCATACTGTCCTACAATACCATAACTCAAAGGCATTGATGATTCTTCTGTCATGTGTAGTCATTGTCTAAACTTTCCGATGCTCCTTGGAGGCAAGAATGGTGATACTTCATCTCATGTATTTTGGGCATCTCATGTATTTTGGGCATGTTGTTAGGAGGGTCCAGTCCTTGGAGAAGGTCATCATGTTTGGAAAGGTGAAGGGTCAGCTTAAGAGGAGACCCCCCTCAACAATATGGATTGTCATGGTGACTGTAACAGTGGGCTCATTGTGTCTGAGATGGTGAGGATGGCACAGGATAGGACAGAATTCGATCTGTTGTCCATAGAGTCACTGCGAGTCATAGTCTTGATGCCACATAACTTTTGTCTAATTTATCATCTATTTATGTATTTTATGGGTAAGCTTGGTAGTTTTGACTGTGATGTAAATGATAACCTTTAAAATGATAATCTCTACTTTTCTGATAATTTTTAACATTTAAAATTTTACGTTTAGACCTTTGATCCATCTTAGATTCTTTTATATATGGTATGAGATACAGACCCTGTTCTGTTTTGCTGACACTGCTCATTAAAGAGGGAGGTGTAATGACTTAATAGGTAGAGTGCAGCACCACCACCCCAAAGGTAGGTGGTTGGAATCTTCTGCCAGCTGCTCTGTGGGAGAAAGATGCTCAGTGGCCCCTGTGCTGTTTACAGTCTCTGAAAACCCACTGGAGGGTCAGCACTGAGTCATTTCTAACTTGAAGGCCCATAACAACAATAGCATTAAAGAGGAACTCTGGTGATTTAGATTCATAGGGAGTTGTTCTACTAGTGCAAAGGTGCCACCTCTCTGGTGTTTGAAGGAGTTCGAATCTACCAGCAGTCCCCAGCAAGATAATGAGCAATCTGCTCATAGGCAGTTTTTGTTGTTGTGTGCCGTGGAGTCGGAACCGACCCATAGCTGACTCTCCAACGGGTTTTCAGAAACAGTCATACGGGATGAGAGTGCTCATCTTTCTCCCCCGCAGCAACTGGTGGATTTGAACTGCGTGCCTTTGGAATTGCAGTGTAGCTGCTTACTGCTAGGCCACCAGAGCTCCCTGTGCAATTGACAGTCTCTGAAAACCTCTGGATGAGTTGATTCCAACTCAATGGCAATGAGTGTTGTATTAAACTATTATTCATTTAATCCTTTTCTGCTCAATATTTATTTATTTATGAGAAGAGCAACAAAAATTGTTTCTCTCCCAGTTATATGGTGACTTAATGCAGAATATGGAGAAGATCAAAGACTCCATTAACCGTGAAAGAAAGTCTAGAAACTGAGCTGTAAGTCCTGAAATGCCTTGGATTTCTGGAAACCAGATGATTCATTCTTTGCAATAATAACAATAAAGATACTCATTCTAGTTCCACTAAAGAACAAAAATATGTAGTTGCCAAAATTGTGTTCTTTTTTTAGGAGAAGAATACAAATTCTCTTTTGAACAGTTAATTCTTTTTAAAAACTTAAGATTTGGCCCAAAGGCTAGTGAGACAAACAAGAAGAAATAAAATAGAAAAAAAAAATCTTAAATAGAAGTGAATGATAGGTTATCTTATTGCATGCTTATTTTACACAAGAAACATACCTTCCTTTTTAATGGTTAAAATACAGTAGGTTTCTTATTGTTGTTATGTGCCATCAAGTCACTTGTGACTAATAGTGATACAATGTACAATAGTTCTGAACCCTGCCATACCCTGAGCCAATCTCACTGACTCACTTATCCCGATTACCCCAGTTACTGTGCCAATCCATCTCATCTGAGGTCTTCCTCTCCTGTGCTGTCCCTCCACCCTTTCAAACATGATGTCCTTCTCTAAGGACTGGTTCCTTCTGATCATATGCCCAAAATATGTGAGATGGATCTTCAAAATCCTAGCCTTCAAAGAGAAACTTGGTTTCACCCTCTTCAATGCAGATCTGTTTGTTTTCTTGGCAGTCTTTGGTTATTTTCAGTACTCTTATCCATCATCGCAACTCAAAGGCATCAATTTTTCTTCAGTCCTACTTAATCATTGTCCAGCTCTCTGATGCATAGCAAGTAATTGCAGAACTATGACCTGGATCAGGCACACCTTAGTCCCTAGACTGACATTATTTCTCTTTAGCACATTGGAGTGGTCCTTGACAGCAGACTTTCCCGGTGCAATTTGTCTTTTGATTTCCTGCCTGCTAGTGCGAAGAGTGCTGATTATAAAGCTGAGCAAGCTGAAATTGTTAACCTGTCTCATTTCCATCTATCATGGTATTGCAAATTGGCCTAGTCATGAGAATCTTTGTTTTCTTGAGGTTGAGCTTAAGTCCATCTTGCAGGCTGCAGTCCTTAACCTTCTGCAGCAACTCTTCAGGTGCTCCTCAATTTCAGCAAGTAAGGTCATCTGTATAATGCAGGTTTTTAATGAGTTGTCTTCTGATCCTGATGCCACATTTCTCCCAGCTTCCTGAACGATCTTTTCCCACATACAGATTGAAAAGGTGTGGCAACAGGATGCATCCTTGACACACTCTTTTTCTAATTTTGAACCATGCACTTTTCCTTGCTCTGTTCTGATGACTGCTTCCTGGTGCAAGTTTAGATTTCACATACACACAATCAAGTGTTCTGGGATTCTCATTCTCTTCAAAGATAGCCACAATTCGTTGTGATCCACACAGTCAAATGCCTTTGGATAGTCAATGAAACCCAGATAGACATTCCTCTGGTACTCTTTTCTTTTGGCCAAAGATCCATCTGACATTGGCAATAATATCTCTAGTGCCTCTTGCAAGTTCAGCTTGTATTTCTGATAGTTCACTGTCGATGTACTGTTCCATTTGTTTTTGGATAATCTTCAGCAGAATTTTGCGTGTCTGTGTTATTAGTGATATTGTTCCATAATTTCCACAATCTGTCAGGTCACCTGCTTTTGGAATGGGAATAAATATGGATCTCTTCCAGTCAGGTGGCCAGGATCTCTTCCAGCCAGGTAGTGGCTGATTAGATCTCTTCCAGTCATTAGGTTTCATATTTACTTATAATCCAGAGAGAACATATCCAGTTACCTTTTACAAGGTGGATATAAAAAGACAGAACGCTGCCTGGTGGTTGTTATACATTAACAGACCATCTCTCACCTATTAGGCATTGTCTTTAGTTTTACCTCCTTAATAATTAGAGACGGAGAGCTCTAATTATTGGCCTGTGGGTAAGGAGTTGCTCTGCCTACCCAAAGAAATATGGTTCAGATTCACCAGCTGCTGTATGGGAATTTGGCCAGTCTCCTCCTGTACAGTTTACAGCCTCTGAAAATATGCCAGAGGGTCAGCTATGAGTTGGTTACAACTTAATAGCAGTGAGTTTGAGTGAATATTAGGAGCCAATCCTAGGAAAAAGTCCTGTAGTTGGAAAAATAGAGACTCAGTGAAGGAGAGGAAGATCCTCGACACAAATGGATGACAGAATTGGGCAGGGTTTTAGTCCCTTGTGCATGGAGTTGCTGTGAGTCGAAGGTGGATTGACGGCACCTAACAACAACATTAAATTGCTGGATGGTACAAAAATGGTTAACTCACATATTAAACAAGAAGTTGAAAGGGCAGGTCTGCTAATCCTGAAAAACCTGCCCCTGAACACCATATGGAACACAGTTCGTTTGTGCAACACCTGGGTTTCCGCTCTGCGAGGCTGATGGTTAATATTAGATGAACCACGTGTCACAAACAATGAGAATGACAGGTGCCAATACCTGGGCGAAGGCTGCATTCAGTGCACAAGGTTTCAGCTGAGGGATGTGCGACTCCTGCCACGGGAAAAGTCTGTAATAAGTTAAGGATTTTGTGTTACAGGCTAACTATCCTCGTCACTGGGCAGGGCTTCTGTACAAAAGGGAGTGATTTTTTTCTCTGTATGGTTTTATCCCAGGTTTATTGCAACCCCTGTAGAGTCTGGGCTTTAGTGAAATACAGACCCCAAAATTCTGGTTAGCTTTACTATGAAAGTAAAAAATACTTTCTTCTCTTTTACATGTAATTGGAAGACCGTCTTTCTGAAAAAAGGAGAGTTGATCCACACTGATTTGTTTTCAGGGTGTGTGTTAGATTAAACCAGATAGATTTGTTGCGGTTTTTGTGATTGTTACATGAAACCAATCCCTGGAGTTCCAGTGATCTTGTGAGTTACGCTGCTAAGCCAAAGGCATGTGGTTCGAATTTACTAGCTGCTTCTTTGGAGAAAAATGGGCAGTCTCCTCCCATGCAGTTTACCACCTTTGAAAACCCTCTGGAGGGTGAGCTAATGAGTAGTGAGTTGAGTCTGGACCCTGCTGGGTAGCTTTATTTCTGTACCAGGCTTTCCTTAGGAACCTGAAGGCTAGACCAGGAAGCTTGGCTTTCCGAATTCCACCATAATCCAGGGGAGGGGAAATATCCCCCAGATGCCGTTCGTGGATTACTGCCTAGTAATCCTTGCTTGTCCCAGAAGATTAAGGCTGCCCTGGAGCGGCTGTGGTCAGCTGACGGATTTTCAAAAAAAATATAATGATTTGTAGTTTTCTTTTTGTAATTCCGCTTGAAGTGTTTGTCTATTTGGGCGATTCTGTAGAACCGGGTCCTCCTTTGTTGACCGAACAAAGCTTCGCTCCCCTGCCTAGGTTTTCATTGTTCATGCAAAGGAACAGCAGGTGCTGAGCAGAGCTAAGATTGCTTGGGACAAGTAATTTATTAAACCAGTTTGCTCTGTTTGCTTGTCCTGAGGGCTTGGAGCTCCCAGAAGGAAGTGTTTCACCTGGACTCCGAAGCCAGGGGCTCGGAACCCCTGCGGTTAGTGTCTCCAGCCAGGTTATGCGACGCGGCAGTCCGAGGGAATATGACTAAAGCGAGACTTAACTGAAGAATTACAGCAGGTGGTTACGAAACCATGCATTCTGCATTTGTCTGGAATGGACGACAGAGACATGGACTTTGAGGAGGACTACAAGTCCCCGTTTGATTTTGATACCGGAGTGAACAAAAGCTATCTCTACTTGTCTCCTAGTGGGAATTCATCTCCTTCTGGATCACCTACTCTTCAGAGATGGGGTAACTACTAGTGATGTAGAATTACGTTGGCTGTGATAAAACCTAAAATGCATCATAACTATACACTAGACGTGTTTTTTTCAAATGCTTAAATGTTCTTTCAGGTTATGAGTGCAGAGATCTGTGTGCCTGCGGAGAGCTGTTAAGGGCGAGTTCACAGAGCTGTTAGAGATTCAAAGCAGCTCGTTAACGTTTGAGAACATGCATGCCAGGGGAAGCCTGCTGCTTAAAGTTAGTATTTATTTGAGTGTTAGAGTTCTTCAGGTCTTCTCATGCAGGAAGACCTTGGCTTCCGGTTGCCATTGTGATTCCTGAGGACTGCTGGTTTTGTCTTTGGCCAACGAAGTCCTAAGCCTCTGAAGCTCTGGTTAAATGCAGGGTTCTGTTAACGATTGTCCTAGATTTTGTTCTGGAATATTGAAAGTAGCATATGTAAACACAAAGAGGAGACGTTTTTAAGAAACAAAAGCTCAAAATAGGTTTACCTCGAGAAGCAGATATTCCTTCCTCATCCTAGTATGAGATTGTTTTAATGGTCGGAGCTCCATTTAAGGAACATCTTAGCATTTGGCAATAGGGTCGAATAAAGCTGGAGGCTGTACTAACATCATTCAGTTCAGTTCCCTCATCGTACAGCTGAAATTGAGGGATGTTGAGATGATCCCCTCCTTCTGTAGTGTGCCTGAGAAGCGGCCAGCTTTTCCTAATGGAAGCTCATTTTCTCTTTGGTAATCTCATTTTTTTCCTCTTCTTAAATTGATGTTGCAAGTCCATGGCTGCAGGTGGAATTGTGCCATTCCTGTGCTGTGCAATCTCTCCCTACCCAAAGGGAGCCCTTCTGGTGATTCGAATCCACCAGCCGCTCCCAGGGAGAAAGATAGACCATCTCCTCTGATCATCTGACGCATCGTTACCCTCTGTGAGCAAAATAAAAGTGCCTGGGTGAATCAGGAAAAGTGTCAAGGATAGAGAGTGTAATAGAACCAGATTCCAGATTGTCAAGGTTTGTGTACTTGCTCTCAGTGGGGAGTGTGCTGCAGGAACATTCCTGCTATTGCTTGTAATTGCTCTGTGGGCATGATGTGGATTGTCAGGGAGAGAGAAATAAAGAGAGCCTGGAGCTGGTGTCAGGGGGTTGGAGGCTGGTGGGCTGCAGCTTGATGTCCACTGGGCAGAGGTTGCTAACCCTGTCCAGGTGGCCCCTCCTCAGACCTCGGTAATATGGTGGAGGATCTTCTCATGATCCTTGAGGACACAGGATTAAATCATCCATCCCATCATCTAAATCTTAGGGGACTACTTGAAGAGGAACTCAACCAACAGGGAACCCTGAGAGCTTGGTAATGAAACCTGTGTAACACCATGAAAAAAGGACTGGCAGTCTACTGTTGAAAACCCGACTGTGAGGAGCATAGTTTGAGACATCTGGGGTGGCCAGAAGTTGGACTTGACTTTTTGCTTAAGTTGACAAGGGACCATAAAAACCCTCATGAAGCCCAGGCTGCAAGTCCATGCAGGTGGAACGGTGCCATCCCTGTGCTGTGCAAGCTCTCTGGTGGCACCTCTGGTGGTTCAAATCCACCAGCAGCTCCAAAGGGAGAAAGATAGACATTCTCCTCCCATGCAAATTACAGCGTCCTGAAAACCTACTGGGAGGGTCACAGCAAGGGTGTGTGTGTGTGTGTCTGTCTGTCTGTCTGTCTGTCTATGTGTCTATGTGTCCATGTATCTGTGTATAAGACTTCAGCTGCCTGTGTGTCCATGTATCTGTGTATTACATCCCAGAAGACTTCAGCTGCCTGTGTGTCCATGTATCTGTGTATTACATCCCAGAAGACTTCAGCTGCTTGTCCCTTTAAGATCTTTTCTGCCCTCCTTGTATCTCTCTCACCTTCTTTCACTTTCCTCACTTCCAGTTATTGCCACCTTCAAATGTCTTCTATTAAAATAAAGGCAATTGCAGGATTGAGTAAACCTTAGGCAAATGTTGAAGAATTACCTTCCTACTTCACAGATTCCTAGCAGTCAATAGGTATTTGGGGTCATGGGATTCAACACATACACAAACACAGTCAAACTTTAAAGTGCCATACATCCATTAAAGCTCCAATATATTAAAAGGTTGTTTTGTTTTTCATGAAAAAGGAAGCAGAGAAGAGGTATTAAAGTGAACAGAATTGCCCTCAGGAGTTGTGTGGTAAGAACCCTGATTTCTGAAATCCTCAGCTAGAAGTGGATGGGGTTTAGAACAGGGATTACTCATCTCTGTCTGGGGCCCCTCAAGGCACCAGAAACCTGTGATTCTTTTAGAACACAAAGCCGGATGTCTAGGTGGAATGAATGGTATGTCTTCCGTTTAGTTCTATGCTTTTTATTCAAATGTATAAGTTTTTATAACTGATAAAGTACACATGTTTCTGGTACCCAATCTACAGGCAAGAAGTTCTCTTAAAAGTCATCCTACTTGGAACGATTGGGAGGGCTGATCTAAAATTACACTTTTTGATATTTATCCAAAATGCCATCTTGGGGCAAATGAGTTTGAACCGTGGGCAGGCTGTTCTGAAGCAGCAATCTGAATGAAGGATGGGATTAAGTCCAGTGTCTGGAACAGAAAGGTCTTTTAACAGGGACTTTTAAATGCCTTGGACATGACTCACATTCAGAAATACATTATACATCTTGACTGAGAATCCTTACTCACACAAATAACTATCTGTAGGACACATAAAAACTTAACCTTGCTTTGAAGCAGAATTTATTTCATTGGGAGAAAGATGGACAGTCTCCTTTCATGGGGTATTCAGCCTCAGAAACCCATTGGCAGGTCAGCTGAGTCAATTGAGTCAGTTCTGAATTGAAGGCAGTGAGTGAGTGAATGATGGATATATTATTCTGGAGCTTTGTACTCTCTTTCTCCCCCTCTTCACAAAATGTTACTCTTGGTAGCTGAATTTATTTCACAACTTATAACCTGAAAACATTTAGAATGAATTTCAGAATATGAAATATAAATTCTGATTGTTATTTCTTATCGAGTTGGAATTGCTCAAAGCTGACCCTACAAGTTTTTAGAGGTTGTAAATTTCGTGGGAGGAGATTGCCAGTCTGTCTCTTGTGGATTTGAACCACTTGCCTTTTGAGTTGGCAGCTCAACTGTTTACCCACTGGGCCAACAGAGCTTTCTTGAACTCCAGTGTTTGTTGAGGTTATATATCATGGAATTGGAACCAACTCATAACTGATCCTCCAGTAGGAGAAAGATCGCCCATTTTTCTCCCATGGAGCTGCTGGTGGATTTGAACCATATAGCTTTGAGTTGGCAGTGCAGTTCCATAGAATTCCAATCAAGGTCTTATTTTTCCTTGCGTTCACTGCTGTTTTCACAGCGCCCAGGACAACGATTGAACCTCATTTGCTGAACAAGTATTTATTTTTAAATGAATGAATGAGTGAGTGAGTGAGTGAACAAGATTAGAAAGGAGTGATTCATATCAGACTCCAGTTCATTATTGTTGTTGTTGTCAAGTGCCGTCGAGTCGAAGGCGACTCATAGCGACCCTATGAAGGAGAGTCCTCGAGGCTTGGGTGCCTTTCATCCTCTCTCCAGGTTCATAGGGTTTCTGGAGGCAAGCTATGATAGAAGTGGATGCCACTCCTCCTTCCACGCTTGTTTTCATTGGGGAGCTCCACCCCACTCTCTGTCCGCATTGGGTAACCAACCGTTACCGCATTTGACACATCAGTGTCACAGTGAGTGTTCAGCCTCACAGCAACCACATGTGACCTCAGGACAGCAACTTGTACACCAGGGCTAAACCTGGGAGAACATGGCCGCCTTCTCTCCTCTCTTCTCCTTTTGGGCTTGAAGCCGCTGCTGCCTTCAACCCAAGGCCAAGCCTGGCTTGCCAGGCTCCAGGAGGCAAAGTAGTACTTCTCCAGAGACCCCCACAGCACCCACACACACAGCACCATGCTCTCTGGCAAAAGGATCATAGCCCCAGTTCATTATATAGATGTGAAAACTGAGAACGAGAGAGAGGATGTAATGTCCTTAAATTAGGAAACTTAATTATAAGCTTAAAATGTAGTACTTATTTCTGAGTTGTCAGGTATTTTTTGTTTGTTTAAAATCCACATGAATCTTACCTTTTTTGGTAGTAGGTATTACGTACCTGTTGTTATTTATCATCAGATTGACCCATTCATGGTGACCTAAGATAAAATATAATGAACCTTTGCTTGCCCTGTCCTGTCTTCATGTTTGGGCTCTTCCGTCTCGTTGACGACCTCCTTCACCACTGTCCACTCTGCCCACCGGTGGTGTTACTTCTAGTGACTTATCTTTCCAGATGACCTTCCAGAGCAAATGAGCAGAAGTCTCAGTATCCTGGCTTCTAAGGAATATTCTGCCTGTATTTCCTCTAAGATCGATAAGTTAATTTTTTTTAAATTTTTTTTTTTAATTCATGGAGTTTTCAGTACTCACTCTGCACTTCATGGATACTACAGAAAATGCCAGTCATTCAAGCTGTAATCTCTCTTTTAGTCACGAGTTGAGCAGGGGGTTAATCTTTTGATTCTTTATGTGTGTTTGAATCTTGACGTGCCATTCCATCTTTTCTGTTGCTAGTCAGTACCTACAGTTTCCCTACGATGCCTTTCCCTTCTATAAACATCTGTAAGAATACTTCTCCAAATGTTATTTATGTGGATCCACACATTAATTTATAGAAAGGTGCAGGTATAGCCTTGGTTTTGTAGCATCTTTGGTTATTTCTAGTAATTTCAGGGAAATACAAAGAATTGAAAAATCTGACATTTTCAGTTTAGTGCTCTCATATTGGAAACATTTTTTAAAAAACTGGCAAATCAAACTTAAGATTTTGTTTCAGTTATAATTTAAAGTCTGTTCTTTGTTATGCTTGACTGATTTTTATTTCTACATTTTCTTTTTTAAAAAAAATAATTTATATACATTTTAATTTTGTATCATGAAT